CTGTTGCTGTTGCTATATCTGTTGCTGTTGCTATATCTGTTGCTGTTGCTGTTGCTGTTGCCGTTGCCGTTGAGGTTGCCGTTGCCGTTGCCGTTGCCGGTGCCGGTGCCGGTGCCGGTGCCGGTGGCGGTGGCGGTGCCGGTGGCGGTGGCGGTGGCGGTGGCGGTGGCGGTGGCGGTGGTGGTGGTGGTGGTGGTGGTGGTGCTGCTGCTGCTGCTGCTGTTGCTGTTGCTACTGCTGTTGTTGTTGTTGCTGTTGCTGTTGCTGTTGTTGTTGTTGTTGTTAAACATCCTCCCCCGTCTGGCTTCGTCACTGTTGCTAGTGCAATCATGCCTAGGCACCACAGTACGTGTGCAGCGATGTGAGCTGGTTGACAAAGAATGGCGAAGATTCCACCCCTCTTGCAAAGTCTGTAGTTTTGGATATTTGCCAGGCTGCCTGAACCTTGACACGTAGAGGAGCAAGCAGAGGTGCTCCTGCGGCAACTTGAAGCACGAGCCGTGGCGACAACGATCAACAAATCGAATCGCCGATTTGTTCATTTGGCCTTCAACGCCCGAACTGTGTCGCCGCGCGTCTGCACCATTTCCTGCAACTCCTGGTGGCGAGAAGGCGCCCCTCCTCTCTCTCTCTCTCTCTCTCCCCCTCTTTCTTCCCGCCCTCTCCTGCATATCCAGGCAGGCTGCGACTTCCCCGTCCACGGAGCAAATGCGCAGCTCGCCCGTCCCAGCCCCAACACCATGGCTGTGCTGCGGGTATCCATGGTCGCTTAAAAGCGACATCTGCCCCAGGAGCCGCAAAGCCAGGGCTGCGGCCGGGCGAACCCTGAAGTAACTTTGGAGACAGGCGCCACACTCCGCACTTCTCTTGGAAAGAAGGTTCTTCCTCAACCCTGCGCATTGCTGCCTGGCGCGGCTGAAGCCTCGGAGCTGCAGAGGCAGCCGCACGGCCAATGGCATGGAGCAGCTCTGCTGACCTGAAACTCAAACTCAGTCGGCACAGAGGACCGCCGAAATCGCAGGAGCACGCAAGAGTCGATGGCTTCAGCCGAACGTTCGCCGATGAAGGGTGTGCAAGGGCAAGATGCATCTGTGAAGTGCGTACAGCACATGGTCCTCTTCTGCGCACGATCAAGATCACTTTGCCCTATGCCCCGTGCCTTTTGGAGCTCAACTGAGGCCGCGGCGCCACCGCCGCCTCCACTGCTGCGAGCTCACTCCTCAAGGGGCCCGATGTGGGTTTGAAGAGAGACGAAGAAGTTTGAAACCGCCAAGCATCGAAGGGCTCGTAGCCAGGAAGTCGGCTGCAGAAGGTCCAAATGTGATTGCACAAAGGCCCATCCTCACCGGATTCACTTCTTCAGGGGCTGGTTCAGGGGTGCATCAATGCTCGCTTGTGTTCTCGCCTGACCACAGCGACACCCACGTGCCAAAGCACACCGGACGCCCGATCTACTCGACGGCCCTCTCCGACTCCATCTCTTTGAGTCCGAAAAAAGGATACAAAGGATCTCCACAAACTCCGACGACTCAGACGACAGAACCGGTTCCGAGCTGCTCGAAGGGCAGCATGAACGCCGCCTGCTTGGTTGCAAGCATCGCCGCCTGACTGCCGCGCCAGCAGCATTGTTAAGGGGGATGAAGACGTGCTGTGCAGCACGTATGAGCTCGCTCGCGCTCGCCTCCTTGAGAAAGGCCTCCGCGTTCCTTACGCCGCCGCGCATCGCTGCGTCCGCCAGCTGCGAAAGATCTGCCGCCGAGGCCTTCGCAGCTCAAAAAACCTTCCGCCTGCCTTCCGCCTGCTTTTTTTCGTGACGCCCAGAGATTTGCAGCCGGAGGATCTGAGCCTCGTCCAGCGTGAACCTGCAGCAGGCGACTAGGGCCGAGATGTGCGCCGCATCATGGAAGCGGAGGGCGCTGTAGGCCTTGCAGACCTGAAAGAAATGAGGGAGGACCCACAGCTGGACCGGCGCGGCGCTAAGCCGCCAGTACTCGAGTGCAAGGCCAGGCCTTCGCCAGGTCTCTGGCCCGAAAGCCGTCGGAGGAAAGCCGCGCCTCTGCTGAGGGATCGATAACCACGCGCGAGGAGAAGCTGATTTTCAAGAGCCGCCAAAGACTTCCTCAGAATACTCCTCGCGCCCTCAGGCCTCCAGCTGCGGCGCAAGCGCTGCGAGGAGCTCGCCTTCCGCTGGTGACTCGCAAGAACTTCCAGTCAGAATCAGCATACGGCTACCGTCTTGTCATCAGCAACGTGTTGCTGCGAGCAGACCTTGCAAGGACCACCTGTGCCTTAGACATGCCACTACAGTACGACATCAAACAGGCATGTGATGCGAAGACCTTGCCTCGGACTTTTCTCTCACCAAACACAACGCTTGAAAGCAGACATGTCGGCCGGAGAGACGTTTTACAGCGAAAGGCTACGGTGGAAAGGGTCTCCAGAGGATCTCCTTAGAGGAGGTGGAGCAAAAGGCCCTTCAGGTACTGCGACTCTGGCAGCATCAAATGACCAGGATGATCCGCAGCCTGGCCAGAGCTTCGCCCCCTCGAACCCTACGCAGGCCCTACAGTGGCCCTACAGTGCCCTGATACAGAGCAGGGAAGAGAGCAGGCGCTGCCGCAAAGCGCCTGGCGGCTTGTGGCCGCGAGCCGGTGCTCTCTCTGAGCCCAGGCCAAGGCACCTAAGAGAGCGGCGCGCGCCCCTTTTTTCCAGGGCCTCTTTTGCTCCAACTCTCGGCCAAGGAGCGGCTCGCCGCCCCAGAGAGCTCGCGCTCGCCTGGCAGAGGACCCTACTCCGCGCCTCGTCTCCCTTCGGATTGGAGCCCCCCCGCACTTCGCCCCAGCGCGCCTATGCTGTAGGTGCAGGAGGCGACGAAAAGCCAGCCGGGAGAGGCACAGAGCTGCGCGGCCGAGTTCAGCAGCTTCCTAGAGCTTCTCTCGTGACTTCTAAGATTCTAAGGCTCTGCTACCAGCTTTTTTGATGGCCTCTAAAGAGCCCCCCCCTCCCCCGAGAATTGCGCATTCTGCAATGCATCCAGTGAAGATTGAAACTGAAGCCCAAGCTGCTCGTAGTGCCGAAGCGCCTCAGACACCAGGGCAGAAGCTGCGCAGCCCGGATCGCCTACAGACCCGTGCAGCCCACACTGCCCGTGCCTTCGGTGCACCCATGCGATCCACTCCCAAGTTAGGAGGGTCCACAATCCTGAGTTCCAGCTCATGTCTCCTTTCCTAGAGGACCAAACGCACTCCAAAAAGCCCCCTGTAGTCAAAAAGACAGCTAAATTCACATTTCTTCTTTCTTCGGCTTTCGGAGACAATTGAGGCTTTCTTGTGGATATTTGGTCCTCTGGCCCCGGCGACGGCTACAGGTGAGTGGGCAGCCGCGCATGGGACGGTGGGTACCAGTTCTGAAAGATCAGCTGACTAAAGAACGGGGTTGGCAAGAACCACACGAAATTCAAAAATTGCCTTTATGCCACCGGCAGGCACGAGATCAAACTCCGTGTCCTCACCTCTGCTGGCCGCGTCTTGCCCAGCGCGCTCCTGCACAAAGAGACATGACGCAATCGCTGCAGGCGAGGGCGGTTAGGGTGCTGGGCTGGTCACCGGCTGGTGGTCCGTGGAGGGCAAGAGCCTCGTGCCGCACCGACCGAAATCATAAGCCAGGAGCAAGCACAAGCTTATTCAGCAGATGTGCTGCTGTGGTTGGCGGCTCGTGCGGCTCGCTTATGCCCAACCATGTTTGGACTACGCGAATCCATCATCCACATGCACGATTTGCCAGTGCACATATGCATCAGCGCGGAAACACAATTCAAAGCACGTCCCCAAGTCCGGCTCCTGTAGGAACTTCATGGCGTCGCCCTGCACCTGCCTAAGATGAGTTTGGGGGGTAGCACCGTCACTTGCGCCCACGCGTTTGCGGT